CCCCCCCAACCACACAACAATAGCAATAACAATTACGAAAAGGACAACGACGACAACAGCTATTCATTGTATAGTCCAATGATGCCTACCTCGACAGTCAACGCACCAAACCAACAAACTCACACAAAAAGTAACCCAGCTGCCTAGCAGCCGGTCACAGAGGTCAGGGAGTCAACTTACGGTAAGTTTTTGTGCTCCAGCACCAGCATGGCTCGCATGGCATACGGGCAAAATCGATTGCTGTAGATTCTGAGAGCAGTTTTCTGCAGAGGTGGGAGGGGGGAGTCTGAGGAGGAAAAAAACAGTGAGTAATTGATTAATTTGGAGGCTGTTTCAGACTTTTTATTGGCGTCAATGATATAAAGTGTTAGACTCTTTTCTTGACACTCGAAAGACATGCGTTTGATTCCCAAACGGGGACGATATTTGTCATAATAACTCCTTCCTCTCGACTCTAGAGCCTACCAACGCTAGACAGTATATTCTAAGAATTAATTTTATTCCAACAGTCCTGCAAACCGTTTAAACGTTCCAGAAAGCATCAAAGGAGGCTGTCATTTTACACACTCTCGCATACTTACTTACTACATAATTTATCAGTGTTTTCGCTGGGAACCCTTTTCTTAAAGTATGTGAAATAAAGAAAATGTGTGTAACATTTTCTATAGGACGCAACATGAGGCCAGGGGCCGGATTAAAACCCAATCATTATTCTTGGAACAGTTGAAACATCTTTAACACAATGCAATTGATGCAGAATGATAATACTATTATGATATTAAATTACTAACCACGAGTAGAGCACTTTACATCCATGGTGCAGATTATCGAGCAGACTTGTATCACCCAAAAAGGAGGAGTTTGTACATAAATGGAATAAAAACAAACTTTTGAGCTTCTTTACTCAGCTGAGTCAGACAGCTTTTGCTGCTATTTATTAAGACTCTAAGTATTATGTATAAGTCAAATCACCATGACTCGGCAGTCTGTAAATGTTTCCCGTGAGGCCCACTTTACCCCTATCCACTGCCCACCCCTCCTCCAAATCTAACAAGTAACGAGGCCAGGGTACGCTCTTGATATGGAATGTTACAGTTTTTGTGTGCTGCTGAGCTATTGCACCGTCATTATTGTTACTGTGGCCACGAACTAAAGAAGCTTAATCAATGTTTTTGTTTTTGTTTTGATATGCCCCCTAGTTTCGTTTTGTAACATATCACTTACGACAGCAATATTTGCCTTTTTATTGAGGGCCTGAGGCAATCCACAATCCACATTCAACATGTCTTGTAATCCCTGCAGTGAATAAGTTATTTAGGCCACATTTCAGGTGTTTCAGATTTCCAATTTCATTTAATACCGGGGATTGTTGGAGGATGCCACTGGTAGATTCTGCTTCTATTCTTCTGTCTGTCTGTCTTCTTCTTTCCCTGCACTAAGTGACAATTATTGAGTCGACATGTTCTTTACTCAAATTCAAATCGCCTGATGTCATCGAGCTTTTTCATGATCTTATGGGATCGGCCGAACGGGCCGATCGCCCGACTCGATCGCCTCAAAAACAAACGTGTTTGTTTTCAGTTTCAGCCGATCGATTCGGGCGATCGACCCGATCCAGCCGTAGTGGGCACACCGTATTTGTCATGTCAGTTCTATCTACTATCACTAACAGAATCACTAACAGAATGAGCATACATGAGACTTGTCTTTGATGCCAAACATCATTAATCATCATTCTCGTCATCTTCATCGTCATCATCATCATCATCATCGTCATCATCATCATCGTCATCATCATCATCTTCATCTTCATCTTCATCA